AGAATATGAATCCTTGCAGTCACGAAAGCTTCAAATCTAGAACACCTAACAGTAGTTTAACACGTAAAGCTTTCGCGACCAATATCCATTATACAGTTTTAATGGCGGTTAACCATCTAACCCAATCAACCTGCATTATGGACATCTACAGTATATATATAAATATAAAAGTTAGTAGTTCCCTGCGTCTTGTTGACATTCGGGTGATTGCCACAAAGTGCTTTGCTTTATCCACCGCTTTCTTTGTTGTCGGAGTGCAGCGACGACTTCGCCTTGGCTCCGTGTCGCCATGGACTGCGTCTGTAGCGCGTTGTGGCGAACGGCGTGCGAGTGGTGCAGCTCGTTGACGCACAGCAGCTGCTGCTGTTGTTGTTGTTGTTGTACAACATTAATGGTTGACGCCTCATCAATGTCTCTTTCAATTCACTAGGCGCGATTTATCACCGATGTGACTTTTTACTTTGACGATATCATTCAAAGCTTTCGTGACTGCAGGAATCCATACTCTTTGGTTGTTTCGGTAAAACATATCTACGTGACTTAGAACCAAGGAGTTTACTTCTCATCATTTTCTCACAATAACCTCGCCGTTGACTGTTTACAGCTCAGATCTAGCACATGGTGTGGGTATGCAGAGCTGTCAACCCCTTGTCAGTGCCCTACTTTATTACGGACAAGGAAGCCAACATTACTTAGCACGAGGTTACAAACCTCACGAGACACTCCGTGGAAATGCGCTCAGGTGGTCAAGGTCACAGACACGAGCTTCGTATCGCACACAGCTGTCCAGACGCACCGTGAGACACGTGACATGGTCGGCTTTGACCACTTCCAGACGGGAGCCAGGTCCACTTGCTACGCTCTCAGTGGGAACTACGCTCGCCACGACTCTCAGTGGCTTCTCACCGATAGCCGCTCGCTGTGGCTGAGAGACGCTGTGGCTGAGAGACGCTGTCCCTGGAGCGCACACGGCGGCGACGAACCAAGACACGAATCGACTCTCACCTGCCTAGACAGGAGCGTTGCATTCACACCGCGGTGTTGGGTTTACAGGTCGCGATTTCTACAAAACCCAGAGTGGCCAGGCAAACGGTGATGGTTTGTCCCTTGGACTGATGTCGTCGGCTATGGTGAGGCTCTGTGGGTTTCTGCACCAAAACCGTACCTTGCAAAAAATTTGTATTAAAGTTTCTTTTTTAAGTATGTTGTCTCTTTCATTGCCATTTATTTCAAATAAAGATTGCCATTTATTTGTTCATGATTTATTTGAGCATAATAGTTTAAAATTGTCTATAAAAAGATTAGACTTAATATTGTTAATTATTTGACAAATTATCTCCCAACTTCACGTGTAAATGAGTGGGGGATCAGATGGGAGGGTAGGAGGGTGATCATGTGGGTGGTTGAGCAGGTGTGTGTGTGTAGGTGGAGATTGGTGTTGTAGTGGTTAGTGCGCTGTGCTATGAACCTGCCTATCCAAGTTCAATTCCTACTCATGGCCACCAACACCAATGACCATTGTCTGAACCGGTCATGGGCCTCCCTTAGGTCGATTCAGCCTCAAATGAGTACCTGGTGTAGAGTATAAATATCACCACTCGAGATACAAAGGCGGCAGGGCTTCGTGCTGGCCATCCATCCACTCGTGTGCCGTGCCGGCCTTCATAGATGCTCGCTAACAGGACTTGCCCAACAGTATGTTCAGGCTATACGGAGGATCTTTGCCTTTGTGCGGGTGGGTGAGTGAGCGGGTGTGCAGGTGATCAGGTGGGAGAGAGATTAGACGGAAATGGGCGCTTGAAAATGCATGAGGTGGGCAGCTGGGAGGGTGGCAGGATGGGCAGGTGTATGGCCGAGCAGGTGTGGGCAGGTGTGGGCAGGTGGGAGGGAGGTCTCTGTAGACGGCTGGGGGGTAGTAGGTTAGGGAGTGGCAGGTGTCAAGGAGGAGAGTGTTGGGTGCAGGTAAGTGGGTGGTGGTCATCCTTACCAAGCGTAGTCATTATCATCATCGTGCTCTTCATCATCATCCATCAGTCAGGATCCATTCATCATCCTAGCTCATGATGACGAGGAACAAGCAAACTGACTGAGAGTGCAGCATAAAATAACACGAGATGCGCCATGGAATGTGGCCCAAGGCTACAGACAGCACTTACCTATGAAGGCGTAAGCTGTAGATTTACTAACTGTGCCATGGTTTAATATCCGTTAATATAACATCTATACAAACAAAACAACAGCAACCATCCCAAAAAAAACATGTTTACACAAGTCAGTCTCAGCTATGAGAGAGTCACATTCACGGCCTGGATGACAATCTTAACAATAGATTTTCAGATTTTATTTTTTATTCACCGAGAACACATTGACCCTTGACCCACAATACAATGTGATTACAATTCACAGGTAACCCAGAACACAATCAAGTCTATGTATATTTACACGATCTAACCCAATAAACCTTTATCATTGATAATATTGGTGGCGAAAGCCTACGTGTTAAAGTCGATTTGTTTAACTAGGTGAGAACTCAAGAGACCAGGATGAGTCTCGGTTGCATGGAGTGATGATAATGATGCTGATGCTGCTGCTGATGATGATTCTGTTACTGCTGATAATGATTCTATCATTATTGATGCTAGTTCTACTCCTGATGCTGATTAAGATAATGATGGAGCTACTGCTGTTGATGCTGTTGCTCCTGTTACTATTTTTTCTGCTGATGATACTTCTGCTGATGCTGATGATCGAGTCGAGTTGAATTGAAATTTAACGAGGTGAGAACTCAGGAGATCAGGATGAGTCTCATTGACAAGAGTGACCTGGGTCACAACAATGAAAAAAGCAAAACAAGTCAAACCGATGCTAGCAATGAAGCAAATAGAAAGCTCACGCACAGCCCAGAAGACAATGCGATTCGCGTTAACATAATTACACAACTGGTACGATATAATCAACGCGTCTCAAATCATCTACGCGTTGCTAAACAGCCTGAAACTCGAGGTTGGGTTCACACCGGATTGGTGTCTCATGTTCAAGAGGGGCGCTGCGGTGGCTCGGAGATGTAAACTCCCTCGCCTGGTATGAAGGAGGTCGTGGGTTGGATTACGACCCTGAAAGCTGCTGTATATTTGGAGTTTGCGTTGTCTCTATTCCTGTAATAACACACAGTGTCTCTGTGTTATTAATGCGTGTTGAGACAATATTAGTCGTGTTGTAGTGTAAGGTAAATCTTCTCTAGATATACATCAGGCGCTTAATAACTTTAACCCACTTCAAAGTCAAAACACAGTTCCCATTTTTGTCAGCAGAAGCGTTATCCCATGAATCGAAGGTTGTGGCTTCAGGTCCAAGTCTGAGAGCAGATAATTAAAATATTAATAAAACAAATCTTTACGAATATTGGTGGCGAAAGACCTCCTACTACTACTAGGTGTTAAATGGCTTCTCTCTATGCCCTGTAAAATAAAACTAGTTTGGGTGGGGGGGGGGGGGGGTCATTCGACCCCTGGTTATAACAAAAATGTTTTAGCCCAGTGACGCTCAGCACACACCACGAGTAGTCCCCCCAAGTGATGCAATCCCATTCCCACCGCGGGTTTATCGCCCAACGAGCGAGTGACCACGAGGGGGACGGCGCGCGTCATCCCGCAGCGTCACGTGACGCGTGTTCCCAGCACGCCCGCGGTGGAACTCCGCCCTCTCGGCGTTGAGCGCCACGCGGAGCGCGGTGCGAGGGACGATGACGTCAGAGAGAACCTTGGCTCCCCCCGCGCTCCCCCACCAGTGCGCTAACCACTGCACCACCGCTCCACCCCACACTACGCACATGCCCCTCTATACACTAAAGACAAAGATACCCTGTGTAGCCTTAACAGACTGTTGGGGCAAGTGCTGTTAGTAGCGAGTAGCACCTATGAAGTCCGGCACTGTGGCACACGAGGAGGTCGGTGACCAGCATCACGCCCGACCCGCCTTTGTCTCCCCAGTGGCGATGTTTGCACATCGCAGCAGGTACTCATTTGAGGCTCAGTCGACCTAGGGGAGAGCCTGGACCGATTCCGATCATCATCACTGGTGTTGGTGAACCGGTCATGGGCCTCCCCTAGGTCGACTCAGCCTGAAATAAGCATAACCCGTAAAAACAAAGTTTTTCACTTTAAATCTTTTATATGCGTGGCGGCTAGAGTCCTCTCGTCTTCTGGCTTGAGATGGCTGCCACCTATGGGTCAGATGATTGTCTGCAGTATTAAACAATTGGTAATTAAATATTTAATTTGTTTTCCCTAAACAGTGTAAAATTTTGGAAAAAAATTTTCACGAACATTAATTGTCTCGCACAACGAGTCTGTGTGCAAAATGTCAGCTCGATTGGATCACGGGAAGTGGGTTAAAAAAACGACGAAAGGTTTGCACGGTCGTAAGCAAGCAAGCAAGCGAACTTAATTTAAAGGATTTAAAAAGAGTTCCTGGTACGGTGTGTAAACATCACCACTGGGAGACAAAGGCGGCCGGGCGTGGTGTTGGCCACCCACCCCCTAGTGTGCTGTGCCGGCCTTCATAGGGGCCGTCCATAAATGACGTCACGCAATTTTTTACCCCCCCCCCCCCCCTTCGTCACACGGCGTCACAAAAAGTCAGACCCCCCCTCAAATATGACGTCACAAAGCTATGCCCCCCCCCCCAAGAAAATAAAACATGCCTCAAATAGCTTTAAACTATTGTCATTGTAGTGCATATTTAATGTGGTGCTGCACTCTGATGTTGTAGGATAAAACATGTATTAAAAAGTCTATTTAATTAAGTAGAACGTGTTGTCTATATTTATTTAATGTTGCGCATTTTGACGTGACGTCACATTTCTCACCCCCCCCCCTACGTGTGTGACGTCATTTATGGACGGCAGCATAGGTGCTCGCTAACAGCACTTGCCCCAACAGTCTGTTAAAGCTGCACGGGGGATCTGTGTCTTTGTGCGCGTGAGTCTGCGTTGTGCCCATTTATCTGCGCTGCTCACACTCCGTGCTCTCAGGACGCACGACTCCGATCCAGAATCCTCACTGAGTCACCAACAACACCACCCACATACAGTGCGGGGTAGAGCGGTTGACTAAACGAGTGGTGGACGGAGTGCAGCAGCTCCATGGAGTCGGCGCGGTAAAACGACAGCAGCCCCGCCTCCCAGTGCAGGTGACACCCGACTCTCCGGAGAGGATCCCTCACCGGCACTGAGGTCAATACACCACCATGACGCACGTAGCAGCTGTTGTTATAGTTCCATAAAACCCAGGATGAGTCGTTCCCTCCCAGCCTGCACTCTTTACCACTCCCTTTCCGTGCGATCGTCCCGTACGCGACTCCAACCTCACACCACCCCGCCGCACCCCCCACGTCCACCTCCCAGTAGTGCTGACCCGACGAGAAGCTCTCGGAGCACAGGGCTTGGTCCCAGTAATCAAAGCGGTGCGGGTGATCGGGGCGACCCTGGGAGACAGCGGTCAGCGTCACCGTCCTGAGGTTCGAGGAAATCTGGAGGAGGTTGTGGGCCGAGTTTGGGTCCACAGTCGGTGAGCGTCCATCTGCAGTAACGATAATCACAGTAACCGTGTAACAACAGCACCACTATAACAACAGCACTCGTGCACTAACATGCACGTACACTGCAATAGAGCAATTCATAATGAGCTTTGTTATACAATGTTGTAATGCGTAGCTATCGGTGTGATGACATGTAACGGGCACTTTGTTAATCCACTGCTGGATGAGGGCCTCCCTACACCGTGCGGGTCGCGGGGGATATTTGACCATACTTCACCACGCCGGTCACCGCGTGTTGGTGAAGGCAGGTGGCGCAGCTGGCGAGATCACAGAAGTACAGTACAGCGGTGCGTTTGTCTGCCCCGCCATCTACATTTTTAAAAGTCGAGCTTCAGTTCAATATTCACTGTGTAATAGATGTAAAACATGTGATGATACCATCAAAATGTGAACTGCTCTATATATTCTAATGCAAGGCTAAAAACTTAAAATGTATGAATTGCTTTCAACATGTATTTGTTAAAAATTTTAATTTAAATAGAACGATCAAACATGGAGCAATTGTAAAGTTTTTTCGGTAAAGTCGCGAAGGTAAAATAATAATATAAAATAATAATAAAATACTATTAATAAAATAATAATAAAATAAAACACTACTAAAATAATAATAGCGCCACAATAATAATAATAAAATAATAATAAAATAATTTTTGAATAATAGTAATAAAATAAAAAATTCTTATACAACAACAATAATAAAATAAAATAATAATAAATTACTCTTGATAAAGTAATAATAAAATAATAATATGTTCTTTTTTATAATAAAATAATATTGACTAAATAATAATAATAAAAAGTAGTATTAACTAATAAAGATAAAAATAATAATAATAAAATTAACTAATAATAAAATATTAATAATATAAAGTGATACAGTAAATTTAGCTGTGACGGTCCCACCTGAAGACGGAGACTTGTGTTGCCTCCGAAACGTCGTGATTTAATTGAGTTATTTTCATTTATTATTTATTATTTTAACCTACGTGACTTTACCGAAACAAACTAAGAGTATGAATCATTGCAGTCACGAAAGCTTCAAATCTAGAATTAATTGTTAAGTTAAATCAATAAAGTTCTAATAATAAAAAATAAAACACTTTTCAAAAATCGCAGCTTTTGCGATTTGCTAATCGCATTGTTTCAAATTGCGACTTCGATTTGAAATCGATTCATCGTTCAGCCCCCTGTGCGGTAGTGCCCATGGGAGGCAGTGGATCACAGCAGCAGCAGCGGCGTGGATATCAACACCGCCGCAGCGTCTCTGTGTGTGTACAACAAACACAAACATCTCCCGTGTGTCACCTTTCACAGGCTGTAGGGGCAAGTGGTGTTGGTGAGCACCTGTGAAGGCCGGCACGGCACACGAGATGGGTGTGATAGTGTAGTGATGTACACTCGTGTGTGTGTGTGATAGTGTAGTGATGTACAATCGTGTGTGAGTGATAGTGTAGTGATGTACAATCGTGTGTGTGTGTGATAGTGTAGTGATGTACACTCGTGTGTGTGTGTGTGATAGTGTCGTAATGTACACTCGTGTGTGTGTGTGGTAGTGTCGTGATGTACACTCGTGTGTGTGTGATAGTGTAGTGATGTACACTCGTGTGTGTGTGTGTGATAGTGTAGTGATGTACACTCGTGTGTGTGTGATAGTGTAGTGATGTACACTCGTGTGTGTGTGTGATAGTGTAGTGATTTACACTCGTGTGTGTGATAGTGTAGTGATGTACACTCGTGTGTGAGATAGTGTAGTGATGTACACTGGTGTGCGTGTGTGATAGTGTAGTGATGTACACTCGTGTGTGTGTGTGTTAGTGTAGTGATGTACACTCGTGTGTGTGATAGTGTAGTGATGTACACTCGTGTGTGTGTGATAGTGTAGTGATGTACACTCGTGTGTGTGTGTGATTTTGTAGTGATGTACACTCGTGTGTGTGTGTGATTTTGTAGTGATGTACACTCGTGTGTGTGTGTGTGATAATGTAGTGATGTACACCCGTGTGTGTCTGTGTGATAGTGTAGTGATGTACACTCGTGTGTGTGATGATGTAGTGATGTACACTCGTGTGTGTGTGTGTGTGATAGTGTAGTGATGTACACTCGTGTGTGTGTGATAGTTTCGTGGTGTACACTCGTGGGTGTGTGTGATAGTGTAGTGATGTACACTCGTGTGTGTGTGTGATAGTGTAGTGATGTACACTCGTGTGTGTGTGTGATAGTGTAGTGATGTACATTCGTGTGTGTGTGATAGTGTAGTGATGTACACTGTGTGTGTGTGATAGTGTAGTGATGTACACTCGTGTGTGAGTGATAGTGTAGTGATGTACACTGTGTGTGTGTGATAGTGTAGTGATGTACACTAGTGTGTGTGTGTGATAGTGTAGTGATGTACACTAGTGTGTGTGTGTGATAGTGTAGTGATGTACACTCGTGTGTGTGTGTGATAATGTAGTGATGTACACCCGTGTGTGTCTGTGTGATAGTGTAGTGATGTATACTCGTGTGTGTGTGTGTGATAGTGTAGTGATGTATACTCGTGTGTGTGTGTGATAGTGTAGTGATGTACACGTGTGTGTGTGTGATAGTGGAGTGATGTACACGTGTGTGTGTGTGATAGTGTAGTGATGTACACGTGTGTGTGTGTGATAGTGTAGTGATGTACTCGTGTGTGTGTGTGATAGTGTAGTGATGTACACTGTGTGTGTGATAGTGTAGTGATGTACCCTCTGTGTGTGTGATAGTGTAGTGATGTCCACTCGTGTGTGATAGTGTAGTGATGTACACTCGTGTGTGTGATAGTGTAGTGATGTACACTCGTGTGTGTTAGTGTAGTGATGTACACTCGTGTGTGTGTGTGATAGTGTAGTGATGTACACTCGTGTGTGTGTGTGTGTGATTGTGTAGTCATGTACCCTCGTGTTAGTGTAGTGATGTACACTCGTGTGTGTGTGATAGTGTAGTGATGTACACCCGTGTGTGTGTGTGTGTGAAAGTGTAGTGATGTCCACTCGTGTGTGTGTGTGTGATAGTGTAGTGATGTACACTCGTGTGTGTGTGTGATAGTGTAGTGATGTACACTCGTGTGTGTGTGTGATAGTGTAGTGATGTACACTCGTGTGTGTGTGTGATTTTGTAGTGATGTACACTCGTGTGTGTGTGATAATGTAGTGATGTACACCCGTGTGTGTCTGTGTGATAGTGTAGTGATGTACATAAGTGGGTGTGTGATGGTGTAGTGATGTACACTCGTGTGTGTGTGTGTGATAGTGTAGTGATGTATACTCGTGTGTGTGATAGTGTAGTGATGTACACGTGTGTGTGTGTGATAGTGTAGTGATGTACACTGTGTGTGTGATAGTGGAGTGATGTACACGTGTGTGTGTGTGATAGTGTAGTGATGTACACGTGTGTGTGTGTGATAGTGTAGTGATGTACACGTGTGTGTGTGTGATAGTGTAGTGATGTACTCGTGTGTGTGTGTGATAGTGTAGTGATGTACACTGTGTGTGTGATAGTGTAGTGATGTACCCTCTGTGTGTGTGATAGTGTAGTGATGTCCACTCGTGTGTGATAGTGTAGTGATGTACACTCGTGTGTGTGATAGTTTAATGATGTACACTCGTGTGTGTTAGTGTAGTGATGTACACTCGTGTGTGTGTGTGATTGTGTAGTGATGTACACTCGTGTGTGTGATGGTGTTGTGATGTACACTCGTGTGTGTGATGGTGTTGTGATGTACACTCGTGTGTGTGATAGTGTAGTGATGTCCACTCGTGTGTGTGTGTGTGTGATAGTGTAGTGATGTACACTCGTGTGTGTGATAGTGTAGTGATGTACACTCGTGTGTGTGATAGTGTAGTGATGTACACTCGTGTGTGTGTGTGTTTGTGATTGTGTAGTCATGTACCCTCGTGTTAGTGTAGTGATGTACACTCGTGTGTGTGATAGTGTAGTGATGTATACTCGTGTGTGTGTTTGATAGTGTAGTGATGTACACTCGTGTGTGTGATGGTGTTGTGATGTACACTCGTGTGTGTGATGGTGTTGTGATGTACACTCGTGTGTGTGTGATAGTGTAGTGATGTACACTCGTGTGTGTGATAGTGTAGTGATGTACACTCGTGTGTGTGTGATAGTGTAGTGATGTACACTCGTGTGTGTGTGTGTGTGATAATGTTGTGATGTACACTCGTGTTTGTGATAGTGTAGTGATGTACACCCGTGTGTGTGATAGTGTAGTGATGTACACTCGTGTGTGTGTGATAGTGTAGTGATTTACACTCGTGTGTGTGTGTGTGATAGTGTTGTGATGTACACTCGTGTGTGTGTATGATAGTGTAGTGATGTACAGTCGTGTGTGTGTGTGATAGTGTAGTGATGTACACTCGTGTGTGTGTGTGATAGTGTTGTGATGTTTACTCGTGTGTGTGTGTGTGATAGTGTAGTGATGTACACTCGTGTGTGTGTGTGTGTGTGTTATAGTGTAGTGATGACTGCGGTGTGTAAACATCGCCACTGGGGAGACAAAGGCGGTCGGGCGTGGTGCTGGCCACCCACCCCTTCATAGGAGCTCGCTAACCGCACTTGCCCCAACAGTCTGTTAAGGCCATACGAGGGATATCTGTCTATATCACTGTGTCGGTATTTATTGATTCGTGTTCTTTTCTAAATTACTTGTTGTTGCCCGTGTAGTGATTTAGGTTATGCCTTGGACTGGCTGTCGAATAAACACTAAAGTTTCCTTAGATTCTGAGAGCTTCAGGCTGTAACACTGAACCCTAAGAATTTTAAACGTGTCTGAGTCTGGATCTCTCAGCCTCAAGTACTCTAATAATGAAATCCTAAGAATCTTCGGCGTAATCGCGTGTGTGTAAAACACCCTCGCACGCAGGATAGCAACAGCTTCCTCACTTGATCGTACACACACGTGTGGTGTTAATACAGCCCATGTAAGAGTGATGTACACTCGTGTGTGTGCAGTGCCAGATTATCCTAGTAGTAAAAGTAGCTACAAATGCTACGGGCCCGGACACTTTCGAGGGCCCCGCGCTAAATGCTTTCAAGCTATCAATTCCACTTCAGTGATTCTGCACTTGCTCTATTACTATAGTACTATACTGCCTTCAACTTTTATGAACGACTGGGTGTTTAAGGTTAGCGATTTGTCGTATTATCTAGCTGTTTTCGGAAATGAAAATATTAAATTACTTTACTATGCAAGTTAAACATTTGTATTTTAATATTTACGTGTATATTTTTTATTTAGATACTCTTTATAACATATGCTACAGGCTCCGCACAAGCTTAATCCGGCACTGCACACGTGTGGTGCTAATAGAGGCAATGTAAGAGTGATGTACACTCATCTGTGTGTGTGCTATATATTAATGTATAGGTATATTGATACATGTTTTATTGTAATTACTTTTTTGCCTGTGTAGTGCTTTGCACGGCCAACCAAGCGTAAGCGTTGCTCTGGCTTTCCGATAAACATCTGAATATTAACACAGAATCCTAAAGGTGCCTTTGATTCTGAGAGAGTGTCAGGCATTAACAATAAACCCCAAGAATATTTAAAGTGTCTTGAGTCTGGATCTCCCAGCCTCAAGATAAGCTACGAATGGACCCATCTGTTACATTGGAATGGACACTTCGCCCATTCCTTATTCATCATTTTTAAATGAATCAGAATGTTCACGATTTTACTGAGAGGCTCTCATCCCTTATCAATTTCTCGTGTAATAACACGTGATATAACAGCCACACTTGACCTCTATGAGCAAGTGTGGGGGAGAGCAAGTGGGAGTGCTATTGGACATCTGAACTTGACAATGAAAAGCAGCAGAGCGTGTGTCCAACCAGGGAAAGTTTTCAATCAGTGCAGTGGCACCTATTGTCTTAAATTGTTCAGATCCATGAACACCGACAAATTCTGACAAATCTTCCGATAAGCACAGTTGGCTTAGTATTTTGCAAAATAATTTCAACATATATACACATACATAGTGACTCACAGACACCCAGCCGCATATAGACCCGCAGATACTCATAGATTAGCACGGTTGGCTACGTACGGTGCAAAATAAGTTCAACATGCATACATATGTAGAGGAGTAGTATGGAGACATGACGTCATGCGCGCGGTGAGGCACGATGATGTCATGTCACCTCGGGGTACTTAAGGGGGATCGGGTGACGAAAGCAGGGTCGTTGTTGGAGCCCGGGATGGAGAATGTCTGAAGAGATAGCCAGGGTTAGGGCTGAGAGAAGTCTGCAAGAGCCGGCTAGGTTTACGTGGAGTGCTGCTCTCCTCGGTCGGGCAGTGTTGGTGGAGCCCCCGTCCCAACTCGAGTGAGAGAGCCAAGAGATAGCCAAGGCTAGCAGCAGATAGAGCCAGAGGTCCGCGTGAAGGGCCGAGTGTAGAGACACCTACCTCTCGTGTGTAGTGTTAACCCCTTGTGTTAATAAACTGGCGTAAGTCCTTAGTAGCAATTCAGCCTCCCGAGTCTTCATACACCACACAACACATACAAATTACATTTAACTAAAGCTGAAAAGTGCGCCAATAAGGATGGAGAAGTACACACTTGTAATATAACTGACAGACAGAAACGGGAGCCCGTGCAGAAGGGAACACATGCAAATTAGATAGCATAATTATAAGCTAATAAGAAAACTACGTAAAAAAAACTTGCATTCATCAATAAGATTACCTTAAAAGGACAAATATAGTAGTGAACATGTATAAATATGCGTGTGCTCTGAATAATCTGTTGAGTTGTTTTGTTATTTGTGATTGTGCACCAATGCCGACGCAGCACCAGCATCACCAAACCATTTGGTAAGTAAACAAAAGTAGGGGCGCTAGAGAATGGCTTGATGCACAAGAGATTAGTGCCCGAAAGATGTGGTCACTACTTGAGTATATTGGCACTACTGATAACAAGAGGAAAGTGGAAAAAATTATGAAATATGCAGTGGACACCTACTTCGGGCTATCTGCCAATGGATCGTGATGATGATAGACTCATAGAGACTCAGAGAATCAGTGATCCATAGAGACTCACAGATCCAGAGTTGTATGGAGAGCGAAATATACTCATTGAGACTCGTAGATACCAATTGAAACTCGTAGAGATCGATAGGGATTCATAGAGACTCATAGAGGAAGACATATCACAGAATGAGAAAAGAGATTGGTGCCAGAAAGATGTGGCACTATGAGAATATTGGCACAAGACAGAGGAAAGTGGAAACAAATGACGGAATTTGCAGTAGATACCTACTACGGGCTATCTGCCCATCGATCGTGATGATGATGGTGAGGAGCGCTCAGGCGAGACACATCGCCAGAACGGACGAGGTCTGGTGGTCGACGCTAATGATGGAGCGGCAGCCAATGGTGAGTGCTCGCCCGAGAGATGGAGCGACGATGTGAGCGCATTAAGCCACGGCGCTCTAGATATGTAAAATGAGATGTGGAGTAGCTACATTATGACTTGTGGTGGCATTCATCCAACAGTGGATAGATCATGGACGATGAGGGTGTTGATGTCATTATTCCCGTGAGACAGAAGCTGAGTTATCTACGTTATTGAGCTCCACTCTACCTCCGCCACTGATATCGATGCCCTCACCCCTGGTTGAGAGTGAATTGAGTGCCATGAGTGGTGAGGGTTGGGTTTGTTGTTCAGTCATTGGAGACTAAGCTAAGGCTAGACTCATCGCACTTGAGGACATTGGCTATCCTGGATAGGAGTTAGAAATGGGGCTTGGACCCAGGGCCCTGCTATTTGGGCTTGGCTGTTTCAACAGCACAGGCCTCCCCTTTACACTGAGCCAGGTTTGATGAACTCATTTGGGGAATGATGATGATGAATAGGATACCATCTGCCACTAGCAAAAACAAATAGATGTCTTCTAAACCTGCTTGCATGTATTTGTATGTGTGTCTAGCCTTTGGTCTGTCTCCTTGGCACAGTAGGGGGCACAGGTGGTACATCGGCCAGTCACTTCAGTCAGTCGACCCATGGCACCTGGGTTTGTCCTGTGACCTGTCAGCGGGCGTTCGACACTTCACGTGGCCTTAACGTGCACATAGCCTGCCACTAGCACCGTGGTGAAGTAACCACCACTTAGTGACAAATGGCGATTGCTGTTGTCTCCTTCTATATGTCTGTGTATGACCTCTGATTAGCACGGTTGGCTCTGTACAGTGGAAAATAAGTTGAACATACATACGTATATTGGCAGTGTGAATGTGAACTCACATGGTGCAGACAGCTTGAGCTTCTCAATGACTCCACTCAGCCAGCTCACGTCACCCAAAGTCAAGTCACTCGGAGGAGCGGGCGGTGGGGGGCGCTCAGTCCTAAGCACACGGGCGCGTGTCAACACGTAAACAACAAACAGTGCAGACACAGCACTGATACAGCACAGGGTAGATGACTTTAGGCAGAATCCTGCAGGAGGTGGGCTAGGTAATGTTTAAGTTTATTTAGATTTGTTACACGATTGGTCGCGCTTAGCCAGTTGCCCGGCTATCTTACAAAGGAGATCCGGGGTGCGTTAGCACGGCAACAACGAAACAAAAACGTCAACGTTGCAGAGAACGAGTACAGGGTCCTTAAGGAATATTGCACAACTATGGACAGAGGAAGATGAATGCGTTTGAAGCACACAATAAATATATACACAGACACGGTGAGACAGGGAGAAGACACTGAAATACTTGCGCTCAGCCACTATGTTGCTAAACTCTGCAATAATATCCTCCCCCTGAATTTAGGTGGCAATAGCCATTCTTACGTAAAGATCTTATACAATGGACTCTGCCACCATGGGGTACAGCTTAGATATGCAGTAGCAGAAACCAATATTAGTAGAGACCAACATAGGAGGTTGAACAAAGACATGGACACAGGAGACACAAAGACCTAGCGAGAGAGAGAGAGAGACACAGACAGACAGACAGACATGGGGATAGACACAGCAACACTCGCCGATACATTTCTGGGTTCTTCAAATCCCTCTCTTACTAACGCATTCACATGGTGAGCAAACCCAGCCTCAACCTGTGTTCGTGCACTAAGGTACCTCTCTGTCTTCTTCATATGGCCCTGTGGAAGAAAAAAGGGACAGGGATTGATAAATAATATAAGATAAATTTAACCATAGATAGACAGGAGTGATCAGAGTGTATTATTGTATTGATGTAAAACACGATGAGAATAGTAGGCAGGGGAAGAGCATTCATGGGATGGTGACCAAAAGGAGTAAATTGCGAGGGTATTGAAAGAGATATTGGATAATAAACAACTTGTTGACAATGTGTTAATGTGATGAAGATGCACACATAATCTGTCTTTGTGGGTTAATCACTTCTTTTGTTATCAGTACGTGTGCTGTATGGATAACACGTTTTTCTTCTGATTCCGATGACGTATGTGTACGTCGTAACTTTATCAGCACTAAGGCTTCCACAATGCCATGCAGGAGGGCGTTTGGCACAGTTTGGCGCCCACAATCGCAGAGTGCGGTCGAGTCGCTACCGTTTCTGCGGTGACTACAATGTGTTTTAAAACAAAGGCGCCATGCCTCTCTGAATAAAATGTACGCTAATTGCTTGCGTGTTCCGATATTAATTGGTGAACGGAACCCACACTGCAACTTGCAGACATCTGAGAACGGGAAAGGGTTAAACCACCGTATGGTAGGACACTTCATTTCTCTTTCTCCTTTCCTCACACTAAACGTCCTTGAAATGTCCTTGCTTGGTCTCTATTTCCAAGTTCGAATCTGTCAGTAGCCAGTCACTTTTGTTCCAAACCTTGTGGCCTGTGCTCAGCAACCGTGGTTGAACACACACACACATAGATGTGTTAATATACGTGAACCCTTTAGCCAGGAGTTTCTCTACTGCTGAGGGCTCTGTCAAACTGGGACACTCGCCCTGGCTCCGCGAGTGCTCTACCTGCAAGAACGTGAGTGAGTCCCTCTCCTCCTGCAGAGCGCGCAGGCGCGTGGCTGCTGCCTGGAGCTCGCTGATCTTGTGCTCGTAATGAGTGATGTTCTCCTCGATCCGGGACAGCAGCTCGCGCCCCTTCACGTCCACGCGGTCCAGAGCTGCCCTCTCGTCCTCATTCAGCGTCGCCCTCATGCGGGTGAACTCACCTGCGATGCGAACCTTGGTCTGGGCCATGGAATCCTGCAAAGGGCGTGTGATGGATTCTATCAATTAACTTTTTCAGAGTGGAGGTAGGTTTGCTACTTTTTCCACAGACTGAACCCAGGCATATGTATTAGTTGGCCCAGGTTTATCTAAACCATGCAGTATAGTGAAGTTCAAGCCAATACGACCACATTCTTTTACAAATCAATTCCTGGTTTAACACGTAGGCTTTCGCGACCAATATCATCCATGAGAGGTTTTTTTGGGTTAGATCGTGTAAATATAAAAATGTGTCGTTAAAACCCGCCACAACCCGACAGAGCCAACTCGTAAGGGTTGTCACGTAAACAGAACATGCCAATTCGTCACTAGTACGGCACGCCGGTGTGTTGTGTAGTGTATAGTAGTATAGTGTAATATACTAGTACAGCACACTGGTGTGTTGGAGAGCCAAGCCACAACATTTACAATCTGACTACGACGTTTCGCCAGCAATTACAACTAGCTTCATCAGGCGACATCCAGATTTGTGGAGAAGTCCACCTGTTTCGTTCCTTATATAGAGGCGTAGATGTGGTGACGACACTTCTGCGCTCTTGCGCAAAGTGGGGTGGCAGGGGATTAAAGATGCCAACGTACATTATGCATGCGCATTATGCGAGCCCTTTGATCTTGTCCTCCATTGTGTGAATTGGCATGTTCCGTTTACGTGACAACCCTTACTAGTTGGCTGTGTCGGGTGGTGGCGGGTTTTAACGACACACTAATATATTTACGCGATTTAACCAAAAAAAATCTCTATTAAGAAATAAATTCCTACCACCCGAACACGGAAGCCAACTCCCAAGCTGTGCAAGTCAAACCTGGGAAGTTGTCAACCCTAATGAGGAGGGAGTTGACCAGCGCAACTAAGTATGGCCACACTAGCGTCAATGGTAAGCACGATGTTGGAAAGCCTTCATCCAGAGGTGTATTGATAATGATCTGCAAATTATTAATACAATCGATAAGCACACAAGTCGCCTACTTAAGAGATCTGTCTGCATTTGGTAATGCATAATTTTAGCACCATTGATTCAGTACATGCAAACTCTGGACCTGCTTTGACATGGAGAATCCCATTAGCAGTGTCAGGCTCGCTTGAATCAATGCTATATGATGCATGAACCTCTCCAGAGTTTCCTGTACTGAATCAATACTTCTTAAATTATGTACTCTCAGTTTGTGGGGCTGATGGGATTTGTAAAGTTTCTTACGTGCATAATTTTGACATAGAGACATATCTGAAGATATAGTGTCTGCTTATCTGTTTGTATTAATATTCTCCACAACATGGTTATTTTGTGTAAATTATTAATACCACCAGGTGACTTGGTGCCCTACAAATAAACAGGTTTAAATCTCAATAACTTATATATTGTGTCTGCTTTATAGTGGTTCCTGCATTCCCTGTTGTGACGAACATTGTGTACAAATTGACAGTGGACAATAATAATTGTACTATGGGGACCTCATTTGCCAGTAAAAATATGATAATTGGTTCTTTACCCTTCTATCTGGCAACAAAACTGACACCTTTTTACAAGGAGTCATGTTTGCATAGACCGCAATACCTGCAGTCATAAATACAAACAAAAGACATAACTCTGATAATGTGCACTGTCCTTGATGTTGATTGGTCCACACCCGAGACAGCTTTCCTTCGAGCCTAGTCTCATATGGGTTGGACCAGATGACGCCAAAAGGCGCACAACTCAAGGACAATGCACCATCAGAGTATGAGAGCTCGGGGCAAGCATCTACGTGCCTGTGCCTGACACCATCGCAATCATTGAAGACTTGGTTCATCAAGGACTGAATGCTGGGGTACCCCCCCTGGTGAGACACTGCTTAACCAATACATACTTCACCTGGAATGGAACCTTCTACAAGCAAATTGAGGGCACCCCAATGGGCTCTCCCCTATCTCCGGTTGTAGCCAACATCTTCATGGAGAAATTTGAGACGGACGCCATCCAGACTGCCACTCTACGCCCGACCTTATGGAAGAGGTACGTAGACGACACTTTTGTCATCTGGCCACATGGCCGGCCTGCTCTAGACCAATTTCTCGACCACATCAATTCCATACACCCAGCCATCAGATTCACCATGGAAGTCGAAAATGATGGCAAGCTACCCTTTTTGGATGTCCTAATCAAAAGGAGACCTGATGGTTCAATGAGCCACTCTGTCTACAGGAAAGCCACCCACACGGATGCTTATCTAAAACCGGATTCCCACCACCATCCATCCCAGAAGAATTCCCTCATCAAGACTCTATATCATAGAGCCCAATGCATCTCCGACCATGAACACATTTCCAGTGAACTCAAACACGTACGCCAAGCTCTTAAGGCTAATGGTTACTCCGACTACACAATCCGCAAAGCCATCACTCCAACCATCAAGAAGGATCCTGTTGAGGAGCCTTTCAAGACAATCACCTTACCCTACATTGCTGGGGTCACAAAAAAGATCTCCAAAATCCTGATTAAACACAAGATCCAGGTCCGATTCAACACAGTACATAAAATCCGTGATCTGGTCCCGTCTGTAAAAGATGTGGTTCCAGACATACAGTACCCTGGCGTCTACAAACTAAGTTCCCTCTGTGGTAGCAGTTACATTGGAGAAACCAAACGACATGTCTCGGACCGCATCCGTGAACATAAGGCAGACCTGAAACACGGTAGGACAAACACCTCAGCCGTGGCAGATCACTGTTACAATTCAGTGGGCTCACATGACATTGACTTCTCCAAGACAGAGGTTCTCTGCAAGCCATCTGGCTATCATGAGAGATTCGTTCATGAGGCGATCCACATATACAAACACAGAGACAATTTCAACCGAGAAGATGGATTCTGGCTTAGCAATCATTGGAAGGACGTAATAAACCATTTCGGATCTTAACTGATTGTGTTCACGTTTACGGTGACTTTCAGACCACGTTCCACTCACTGGCATGGTGCAGTGTGCAGAGTAATGTATGGTGTCGTAATTGTACAGTAAACATATAGCAGTATGATACACAATAGGGTGGGTAGAATAATACATAGTGTTATATTAAAATGGATAAGGCAGCAACTGCAGCAGCAGCAGCAAGTGCAGCAGCAGCAGCAGCAAGTGCAGCAGCAGCAGCAAGTGCAGCAGCAGCAGCAACTGCAGCAGCAGCAGCAACTGCAGCAGCAGCAGAAACTGCAGCAGCAGCAGCAGCAACTGCTGCAGCAGCAGTAACTGCAGCTCCCTTTGATGCTGTTAATCCTGCATAATGCACATGCATATGCAGTACTAATCACATTCCTGCATTTCCCATAAATATGCTAAATTCCTTTTGATATGCAAATTCCTTTGTCAATGCGCCCAGCTTATATATATGCTCCAAGCTCGTGTGCTGTTTCATTCAGACTCTGTCGCCTCGACGGACCTGGTTTTCACCTGAGGACGGCTGCTTGCGTTGTGGCCGAAACGTCGTGAGAATTGTTTTATTATGTTTTATTTTTATTATTTTATTACTTCCCTTCTACGTGACTTTACCGAAAGAACCAAGAAGATGAATCCCTGCAGTCACGAAAGCTTTAAATCGAAATTTAACCGCCTCTACGGGGAGGGTTTCCACATAACTTTGAGATCCTTCAACAAGCTCCGGGATAAGAAGGCTCAGCTAATCGAGTCTCTCACCTTTCTGAAGAGATGCCGCGACTCTAAGGTAATACCAAACGCATTTACACTAACATCTGCTGCTGTAACTTCTTCTAATGCGAAACAAATTCTGTCTAGAACTAGTTTAGCTCTTATCTCAGAGAAAATCAGACTTACGCGCACCGAACTAGATCAGTTAGACAAGACACTCTACAAATCACACTTATCTTTGAGTGTAACAATGTCCACATCGGATTGGGAACATGTGGAAAAAATGACTGCCTCTTCAGCTGCCGCTATGTCGACTAAATGTAAGGACAACTTGATTTCCAAATTCAACCGCCTCTCAAACAAGAAACCGGACCCACACATTGAAAAGCTAGATGTTAACAAAGTCGTAATTAATCGCAGTAACAGTCCTATTTCTGAAGGTTTGAAATCCGTTTTAGCTAAAGGACTAAACTTTGCAGTCACACCTAGACACATACCAGTTAATGATATAATTGCTCGAGTAGATGTAGCTCTCAAGGGCTTGAGTCACATCGCTGCAGACGTAGCAAGATCTGAAATCTCTGTAACCCTAAAAAACGCTAAGATGCCAGCTAGCAACATCAGCAAAGATGAGCGTTTTGAATTAGCTCAATTAAAAAAGAAGGATGACATTGTCATCCTCTCAGCCGACAAAGGCAATGCCACTGTCATCATGGACAAAATAGAATACAACAACAAAATTCAAGAACTACTCAACGATGGCAGCTATACAAAAATAAAAAGAGACCCCACCAACAGCCTCGTCTCCAAAACCAACAACATCATTTCTGCTTCAACCGCATTAATTGATCAGACCAAACAGTTCTCGTTGAAACCTTCTGCAGCCAGGCCACCAAGATTGTACGGCTTGCCAAAGATACATAAAGAAGATACACCTCTTCGTCCCATTGTCTCTACTATCAACTCCCCCACTTACAAACTGGCTCGTTTTTTGTCCGAAATCCTACGGCCTTTCACTGGAAAAACCACCTCTGCAGTACTAAACTCTACTGACCTGGTATCGACAATCAAGGGGATTGCCCTGTCCCCAGACGACCTGCTTGTCAGTTTTGATGTGGTTTCCTTGTTCACCAAGGTGCCTGTGCCTGACACCATCGCAATCATTGAAGACTTGGTTCATCAAGGACTGAATGCTGGGGTACCCCCCCTGGTGAGACACTGCTTAACCAATACATACTTCACCTGGAATGGAACCTTCTACAAGCAAATTGAGGGCACCCCAATGGGCTCTCCCCTATCTCCGGTTGTAGCCAACATCTTCATGGAGAAATTTGAGACGGACGCCATCCAGACTGCCACTCTACGCCCGACCTTATGGAAGAGGTACGTAGACGACACTTTTGTCATCTGGCCACATGGCCGGCCTGCTCTAGACCAATTTCTCGACCACATCAATTCCATACACCCAGCCATCAGATTCACCATGGAAGTCGAAAATGATGGCAAGCTACCCTTTTTGGATGTCCTAATCAAAAGGAGACCTGATGGTTCAATGAGCCACTCTGTCTACAGGAAAGCCACCCACACGGATGCTTATCTAAAACCGGATTCCCACCACCATCCATCCCAGAAGAATTCCCTCATCAAGACTCTATATCATAGAGCCCAATGCATCTCCGACCATGAACACATTTCCAGTGAACTCAAACACGTACGCCAAGCTCTTAAGGCTAATGGTTACTCCGACTACACAATCCGCAAAGCCATCACTCCAACCATCAAGAAGGATCCTGTTGAGGAGCCTTTCAAGACAATCACCTTACCCTACATTGCTGGGGTCACAAAAAAGATCTCCAAAATCCTGATTAAACACAAGATCCAGGTCCGATTCAACACAGTACATAAAATCCGTGATCTGGTCCCGTCTGTAAAAGATGTGGTTCCAGACATACAGTACCCTGGCGTCTACAAACTAAGTTGCCTCTGTGGTAGCAGTTACATTGGAGAAACCAAACGACATGTCTCGGACCGCATCCGTGAACATAAGGCAGACCTGAAACACGGTAGGACAAACACCTCAGCCGTGGCAGATCACTGTTACAATTCAGTGGGCTCACATGACATTGACTTCTCCAAGACAGAGGTTCTCTGCAAGCCATCTGGCTATCATGAGAGATTCGTTCATGAGGCGATCCACATATACAAACACAGAGACAATTTCAACCGAGAAGATGGATTCTGGCTTAGCAATCATTGGAAGGACATAATAAACCATTTCGGATCTTAACTGATTGTGTTCACGTTTACGGTGACTTTCAGACCACGTTTCACTCACTGGCATGGTGCAGTGTGCAGAGTAATGTATGGTGTCGTAATTGTACAGTAAACATATAGCAGTATGATACACATTAGGGTGGGTAGAATAATACATAGTGTTATATTAAAATGGATAAGGCAGCAACTGCAGCAGCAGCAGCAAGTGCAGCAGCAGCAGCAAGTGCAGCAGCAGCAGCAAGTGCAGCAGCAGCAGCAACTGCAGCAGCAGCAGCAACTGCAGCAGCAGCAGAAACTGCAGCAGCAGCGGCAACTGCTGCAGCAGCAGTAACTGCAGCTCCCTTTGATGCTGTTAATCCTGCATAATGCACATGCATATGCAGTACTAATCACATTCCTGCATTTCCCATAAATATGCTAAATTCCTTTTGATATGCAAATTCCTTTGTCAATGCGCCCAGCTTATATATATGCTCCAAGCTCGTGTGCTGTTTCATTCAGACTCTGTCGCCTCGACGGACCTGGTTTTCACCTGAGGACGGCTGCTTGCGTTGTGGCCGAAACGTCGTGAGAATTGTTTTATTATGTTTTATTTTTATTATTTTATTACTTCCCTTCTACGTGACTTTACCGAAAGAACCAAGAAGATGAGGTCCCCATAGTGTAGATGTTTGCCCCGAGCTCTCATACTCTGATGGTGCATTGTCTTTGAGTTGTGCGCCTTTTGGCGTCTTCTGGTCCAACCCATGTGAGACTAGGCTCGAAGGAAAGCTGTCTCGGGTGTGGACCAATCAACATCAAGGACAGTGCACATTATCAGAGTTATGTCTTTTGTTTGTATTTATGACTGCAGGTATTGCGGTCTATGCAAACATGACTCCTTGTAAAAAGGTGTCAGTTTTGTTGCCAGATAGAAGGGTAAAGAACCAATTATCATATTTTTACTGGCAAATGAGGTCCCCATAGTGTAGATGTTTGCCCCGAGCTCTCATACTCTGATGGTGCATTGTCTTTGAGTTGTGCGCCTTTTGGCGTCTTCTGGTCCAACCCATGTGAGACTAGGCTCGAAGGAAAGCTGTCTCGGGTGTGGACCAATCAACATCAAGGACAGTGCACATTATCAGAGTTATGTCTTTTGTTTGTATTTATGACTGCAGGTATTGCGGTCTATGCAAACATGACTCCTTGTAAAATGTGTCAGTTTTGTTGCCAGATAGAAGGGTAAAGAACCAATTATAATAATAATTGTATTTTATTGTTTTCTGGGAGATAGTTTATGAGTGTGCGAGAGATCACCATACGGGTAGAGCATATTTACAGGAGGGGGAGGGGCTTCGACGTGGAGAGCCAAGACCACGAGACCCACAATTTTGCGAAGAAGAATTGAACGGGAGCGACGTTCGTTTCCAGGAAACTTGTCCAGAAAAGAGCTTAAAAGGCGTCAGACAGATGGAACATCATCTCACTGCAGTCCACTTACACTCGGAGGGTAGTAAATAAATACAAATAAATAAACACACTGATGTGCAATACACAGAACGAGTGCATATCTATCCTCATAGCCTTTCAGGAGTGCGGAGACACGACACCAACTCAGGTCTGTGTCTGGTGGACAAGAACTTTCAGGCAGGACCAGGCGAGACTCCACGGAGTGGGACCATGCTGGGAAGAAGCACCTGAGTTGACACCGTGGGAGCAATCGGCGAGAGAGCCAAGGCGGAGGAGTACTCGTGGGAAGGGGAGTCTCATCTCCGCTGAGTTTCCAGCCCCTGTTGGAGGTGCAACTTTAAATGACTGGTGGGTGGAATAGTCTCAGAGAGAATCTGTTCTGTGGGAGAGCTACTGGGTGCCACGGTGGCGAGATGTTAACCACCTCGCCGGGTTTGCAGGACATCGTGGGTTGATCCTGACTCTGACGCCTACTGTATATTTGGAGACTGAGTATTCCGTGGATTTTTATCTGGGTCCTCTGGGTTTTCCCTCCACATTTAGAATCAACATCACGCATTTATAGTATTTGGCTGCAATAATTGCCTACGTGATAAGCCAATTCGTTGGACTATCATTTATGATAGCCAGGTAACTTCTGAAAAAAGGGGTTTATAGCTCAGTAGCCCCTAACCTGGTAAAATATAAACATAGATTCGGTTAATAAAAATAACCCATCCTCTCTAACTGCATGCTCTATGAGATGTAAGAACTCTGTATAGTATTTTTAAGAAAACACTCTTACTGCACACTGCCGTGAGTGCACGACCATATGATGGTGTACTCTAGGTGAACACATGCATTCTGATCGGGTGAACCTGTGGTCAGTATTGTCCCTGCTGACCAAGGAGAGTTGTGACCCGGTGATGTTATTGCGAGTAGCACGCTATTTGATTACCACACCCTGCTGGGTAGTTGTTGAGGATCGGGTAATACAATTCTGAAGCCTACGAAGCGTGGCAGTGCATGTCAGATCGCTCTACCCCAACCCACAAGTTGCACAACCTGAACCACATTCCAATATCCGCTCCATTTCGTAACGCCAGGCATAGCTCTTCAAGGTCGCATCTCGCGTTGTAAAATTTAACCGCCGATTTCTAGTAATATTTTGATCCTAATTGTATTTGTTTTATTTGTTGGTTTTTAATCTAATGCAGTCGTTGCACCATACTGTGCTTGTTTATCTCACCCATTGCAAGTCATTTGAATTATCCTGAAAAATGCGTTGCAGTCTCACGAGATATGAACTTTTTTTATAAATGTTGCATTTGTTTAAATATACATTTCAAGCACTCATAGCCATAACACTGCAATATCCTGCACCGTTTTTACACATTGACTCAAGACTAACAAAATTTCACTTGGATCTACGGAATTTTCCTCACAGGGAGAGTCACAGACTCCACGCAGGGTGGAGGATCACAGGGTCACAGAGCCCATATGTGTTACCTGCACGTCCTTGCGAGCGGCCTTCATCTGTCCCACGGACACCTCCGCCTTCTTCCTCTTCTCCTCCACCCCTCGCGTCTCCTCTTCGACTCCACTCTGCAAGAGACGAAGTCACCAGAGGAGTCTCCACTCCCTGAGCGGCCCCCTCTCCGCCCCACTCCATACTGAACCCTCCACAGTGATGGCCAGGAAGCCAACCTCGACTGAATGAACAGTCTGAAAGGCAAGCGACAGTGAAGAGGGAATTGGCCCACACTGATGATTTACATCCCACGTCGTTATGCCCAGTGGCTATCAGCTCTAGTTGTATCATTGGTTTGCAACTGAGTGGTTCTCACTCTTTGTATGGAGGCCTCACCTTCCGTGTTTCGTGCTCTTTCTCCAGCGTGATAACCTGATGACTGATGTGGTCTCCTGCGATGGTGCAGACCATGCAGGCCAGGCGCTCGTCCTGTTTGCAGAAGAACCTGTAAGGGTCTCCATGCTGTTGGCATCTTCGCTCCTCCAGGCTGACAATGGGAGCCACCAGGACGTGGTCCATCAATCTCGGATTGGTCAGGTGAGGTTTCAGGTGGGACTCGCACAGGGACATCTCACACCTGAGGCAGGTCTTCACTGCAGGAGTCTCCCCATCATCGCAGGTGTCACAGAAGACAACTCCGGCCATCCTTTCTGCAACTCTGAGCTGCTCCACCAGGTTGGTGAGCGCCACGTTCCTCTTCAGCTGGGGTCGCTCAGGGAAGGCCGCTCGGCACTGCGGGCAGATGAAGCTGCTCGCTCTCTCCCAGGCACCGTCCAGACACCGGAGGCAGAATGAGTGTCCGCAGCTCAGCGTGGAAGGGCAGTCAAACGTGCCGAGGCAGATGGGGCAGCTCAGCTCACTGTCTACACAATCACTGGGAGACTCGCTCGCCATGGCCCATGGCTTCACTCGCACTCAGTCGCTCGCCGCGGCTCACGGAGGAGCTATCGCAGCAGTTGCTCACACAGCGGAGACGAACAAGGAAATGGACATGACCTATAGTTAAGTTATAAATACCTCAAGACACGGCTTGGAATGTTCCACACGGCGGCCGCGCTCACCTGTGTAGACGTGGCGTTAGTCACACACTGTGTTAGCTAAAACTGATTAAAACGGTTGGCTACGTACGGTGTGGAGGAAGTTCAACATGCATACATAGCTTTGAACGGTCTCAAGTGATATAATATTTGTAGAAACAAAACCCAGCAGCAGCACTAGCCAGGCACACCGCCATAATGGTTTGTCCCACAGGCTGATTGAGTGTGCATTGCCACAGTGGAACCGCTCCATGTACAAACATTCAGATTTAATCTTAACTTTTTTCCATCCCTGGTTTTATCCATTTTTTTCTTGCAAGGCCTGCTTGTTGAAGCTTCGCAGTCTGTAGTCGTCTTCCACCTTTATCAGCTAATATTTTAACTACTGCCTTTGTGCGTCCTCTGTTCATCTGTCAAATATGTTTTAGTTTTTTTTATTCCTACCAACCCGTTTTTTCTGGGTGGACTGTGGTTGTATGTATGTTGAACTTTTTTCACACCGTACGTAGTCAGCCGTGCTAATCGGAGGTGTGTGGGTGAGTGGGTGCGTGTGTAGGTCGGTGAGTCGGTGAGTGGGTGTGTGGGTGAGTATGTATGTTGAACTTATTTCAGTGTACGCAGCTACTCGTGCTAATCGAAGGTGCGAGAGAGTGGTGGTGGAGGTTGAGTGAGTGGGGGGGGGTTATTTGCTGAGAGGGGAGACAGATGGGCAGGATGATGGGGTGTAGGATGGTTGAGCAGGCGGTGAGGTAGGGAGGGAGGGAGGGTGGCCGGGAGGGCGTGCGGATGAGTGATTGGGTACCTGGGTGGGTGGACTCACGCATTACCACAGCGAACAGCTCCTGGTTGAATAAACATCCTTGTTCATTTAGGTTCACTGTCTGTATGACTTTCACCGTCCATTTTCCTATTATGCATAACAAAAGTCGAGGATTAAAATCTTAATAACCTATAACATATATTCGTCACCTATTGTTAATGTTAATATTTTACATCCTGGACTCGCTGAGTTTCGACGATTCTATAATTTGTTTTATTTTATTTTACCAGGTAAGGCTCACTGAGGTAAAAGCTTTTTCAGAAGCGACCTGGCCACAAACGATAGCTCACAGACGTGGCTTGTTACGTAGACATTTCTAGCAGGCAAACATTTTAAACGCAATTTTCTAAGTGTGAAGGGAATAATCGGAGGATCCGGAGAAAAATGCACGCGACCACGGGGAGAGAGAATGCAAACTCCAAGTACACGTACAGGCGTCAGTTTTGGGATAGACCCCACGACCTCCTGTATGCCAGGCGAGGTAGTAAACATCTTCCAGCCACCGCAGCGAGATGTAAAAAAAAATCACAGAGCAGCGACATCGAACAAGGAAACGACCTGACTTCACCTGCAGCTAAATTATGAACACCACGAGACGCGTCCTAAAATGTTGCACGCGGCAGCCCGAACTCACCTGTGTCGACGTGGCGTTACATTCTCACACACACAGTGTCAAGGTTAAAGAGTCGCAATTGATATATTTTTACAAAAACCCCACGGTTACCATGAAAACGGTGATGGTTTGTCCTATAGACTGGTTACACAGGTTTGGCTGAGGCTGGGGTTTTCCACTGTAAACCGCAACGTGTAAATTCTTATTAAATATTTAAAATTATAAGTAGGCTTTTGCGACCAATATTATCCATACAACGTGTTTTTGGGGTAGATCGCGAAAATGTAAAACTGTCGTTAAACTTTTGACCACCCAATACAACCAATGAGTAAAGTTTGTCACGTAAACAAAAAAAAATCCTGCTCGCGTGAGGCTGTGCGTTTTTCCCAGCAAACCACACAGCTGTCAGTTCGTATTCAAGGTTTACAAAAAAACGATTCCCCTAAACCGGGGGGGGGGGGGGGGTCGCCAACCAAAACAACAAGGAGAGACATTTTTTCTCATTTTTTTACAAACCCGTAAGTAAAATAAACACCAACCCACTCATTATTTCAAGAGCCGCAATGCAACGTGGTGTGAGTACGAGAGACGGTAGTGCTGGTCCTTGATAAATAAAAACGTGGTGTGCGTACGAGAGACCGTGGTGGTGGTCGTTGATGAATAAAAACGTAGTGCGAGCTCACTGTCTACATCAAGTTTCAAGTTTCATTTATTAGGTATCGCCCTGTGAGCCATTCGGCTCTTGAATCGGGTGCAACCGCAACAAACAAAAAACAAAAACATGAACAAGAAAACATCTTCAAGTGACTATGTGCAAACAGAAAATCCAAGAAAAAACAGCAAAATATTGCAGAAAAAACACCATACACCAACACTGTGTGCAAAAATCCTAGTGGGATGCAAGTCAAACAACAACAACCACAAGACAACTTAGATTAAGGCCATCAGTCTAACTCTGTACTACTGTAATAAACGACTCCGTCAGGCACTGCTGGACTCCGCTTGTCTTTTATTTAGGTTCTTCTCCGCACCCCACTGGTCTCCTCCACGGACCAGCGTCGTCTCTCGCCGCGCGCCCCACGCACGCTCCGTGTGGCCCGCACTCGCTGGTGGCCGCTCCGCTCTCTCCGCGTGCCCCGCACTCGCTGCCAGCCACACCGCTCGTTCCGTGTGCCCCGCACACTCCGCTAGTCACTCACTAGCCACGTGTGCCCCGCACACTCTGCTAGTCACTCACTAGCCCCGTGTGCCCCGCACACTCTGCTAGCCCCTCACACACCGCTAGCCCCATGCTACCCCACGCACGCTTCTCTCACGTGCCCCGCACGCTCCTCTGTCAGCTCCTTCCTCTCGCGTGACCCGCACGCCCATCAGCCACGTGGCTGATGGCGCAGCGACCACCCAACGTGGTCCCGCTTCTTCACTCCATCAACTGGCCCTGATCTCTTCCGGGCTCCCTCCTATAACCTCTCTCCCACGTGACCCTGACTCCTCCCTTCCGGATCGTCACATCCGGCCTTCCCATTTACGCTCGCATTACATGACCCCCCCCCCCCCCTGATGAAAAATCCAGCCGTCCCGGCTGCAATAGGATCAAATAATGCGAGCGAAGGCATCACAATCAGGAATCACCCCAGACACAATGGAGAGTATAACAACAAACACAATTAATGAAAGGGAAGGGATCTGGATCCGGTACGGAACACCGGCCCGTCTTCCGCGCAACAAGCAAAAAATAATTAAGGAATGGAAAGCAATACACAACAACGGTAACCGACACGCAAGAATGGCCGACGCACATAAACCAGGAATGCGGTGTCTTAGAGCGTGTCCGTGTTGGTGGTCCATCTGCCTGGCTCAAGTCCAACTTCAGAGAGCAACTGGTAGAGCAGGAGTGACGAACAGATGCTCCACTCCCCCTTCAAGTCCACATCCGGTTAGCACAACCGGTGACACCCAGTGTGGCAGGCGCCGAAAATCTGTGACGAGAAGGAGAACCAAACCCCCTGAGGCACAGCACAACGAAACGCACATCCGCATGTCGTACACGACAGCCACCCGGCTCCCAGGGTAGTGGAGATGATCTAAATCCGCCCCGTGTAAGGAGAACCGCAATAAATACCCAAAATAGACGCGATGGATGCCCCAGTATTTACATTTTAACTAAAAAAAATATTATTTACACATGACTACAAAAATTTTCCTGCTCTTGCCCATCAACAGTCCTCCCTTGAGGACCAGCACAGACATCTCACGTACACAACATCTACTCACTGTCACTCTCAACACAGCCCCCAGCAGCACACCCTCGCGTGGAGAGAGCCACGCTCCCCAGCGGCAACATTTAATTTGCCTTCGCCCTCACCGTGGTCGTCCAACCACAGCAACGTCCACTGGCCATACACTCGGCCAGTGCATTTTCGGGGACGAGGCAATGGCACATCGCAACGACTCAGCCACGCTCCATCCCGTACTATCCCATCACCAATCGACACACCCCAGCATCTTATAGTCTGACGCTTTACAGACAAGGGAAGGTTCATCCCTTGGCAAGGCCAGACCCCATCGACCCCCCACGGGGCAATGTTCCCTACCCAATATCTTGGCGATATGGAGTCGCACTCCCCTACACGCATTCTGAACAAATTAGGCTTACTATCACCAATAGGCTGAACCTGCTGTCTAGCATGTGTCCTCACTGCCGTCCTAGCAATCACCCCGGACCCGTCGCATTCCGCTAACCTAGGCCATATTCCATTCGCTTGAACCCCCACAATATCCACAAACCCCCGAATAGGATCTGCAGGACTAGTTCCCCTATACATTCAATAACGTCATAACCCAGAGCGGAACAAGTCCGCGGCCCTTCCCGCTGGAGGACCCGCAAGGGGAATCCACGCCCCATGCTAGCCAGGTCTCCCCGTTCACTGCAACGTAGCGGAACCTCTACTCCTGATTTCCGTGAGCTCCCAGCCCTCCAGGTTAACAGTCTGCCACCGCATGACGGAACCCCGACTCCCCGAGCCATATGAGCACACGGCCAATTAGTTTGAGACATACCACGGAGTGTCTCGCTTCCGGGCTGCCAGGTCAGCCATCGGCCATAGGCCCATGTGACCACAACTCGTTCATCACCCACTCAACAATGGCAGGCGTATACTGGTGAAATATTTGCCCCAGAATAGAACCCAGCCAGCATCTCAGTCCCAAAATGCTGGTGCAATGACAGGCTTCCCCTTAGTCAGACACGGGCCACTATGCGCCCGTTACCCCGATGGGCGCCAACACGCCAGCATTGCGCACAACACGCAATGCACGCACACAAGTTAGAGCGCAACACCAGAGTCAAGGGATGAGATCCATTAACCGCATCCCCTCAAAATGGCGGCGTCACGCGCAAAGCGCCCCACCGAGGTTTTCCCGCGTGCGCTCAAAATGGCGGCCCCCTGCGCTGAGCGCATCCCCGCGAATTC